ACAGTAAGTAAATAGCTCGCTGCCTCGAAACTCACACAGCCCAGCATCTCAAGCTCACGTTTATAATAAGCAGGTTCTTTACATCTGGTATCGCGGCTTTCATGCCGGGAGGACATCCGAAAGCGCTTCATGTGCGGAATGTACTGTAAAGTAACTGTTTATTTGGTGGGCGAAACCCGGCAGCCAAATCCCACAAACAGCCATGAAGCGAATTGATTGATTGATTAATTGTATTTGGTGATTTTATGGCCAGGACACCAGGGAAAACTCCCTTCCCTTCTCAAACAGTTTATCTATTAGATAAATAAACCTTTGGCTGCACGTCCCTTGTTGCACCTGCACTTTCCCTTCACACACCGCAACAGAGACTGAAACAGAAAGGAAATAAAGGAGGACAAGGATAGCAGATAGTTTGTTTGACAGTTCACCAGACATTCTTAGGGTTCCACTAATAAAATAAAAATAAAGACAGAAAATTAAGGATAAAAAATTGAAAAGCTGCAGAAATCCCCCTGAATCAAATGCGGAATCTCCTGCAGCTTAGAAATGCCAGTTAGCTAACAGGGTTTTGGGATGACTTTCGCTGGTTATTTTAAGAGAGCTTTCTGATCGACTTCCGCAATGCACAGACAAAAAGCCCTCAGGGTTATAAAAAGATGCAAGTCAATGTTCATCGTCATTTCGCCCACAAAACACATAGTCACTACACTTTATAGTATATCCTGTGAAGCCCTTTGAGACGTCTAGAAGACATGATAAGGTGCTATATCAAATACAAGGATTATTATCATTATTATTAATATCATAACAGGGTGTATTTCTGTACCTTAAGAGCCTGTTTATGACAATCTTCTCCTAATTAACAAACCGTGCGCAAAAATCTGGTTCTAAATTACACACACAGCCAACAGACAGTCACTGCGAATCCGGTAAAGAAACGTGAATTTTTGCGAAAGCATGAATGTCAAGTTCCAGTGAAACCAACAACAATAACTCGAATTTATATAGTGCCCTCCACACCAGACAGTGTCTCAGAGCGCTTCACAGTTATGGATCCTGGGGCCGAGCCAGGGGGATGGGGGGGAGCCGGGGGGATGGGGGGAGCCGGGTGGGGGGGGAGGGGGGATAGCCAGGGGTGAGGGGGAGGAAGGTGACCAAAGGCGCGGTCGAAAAGAAAGGTCTTCAGCAGAGACCTGAAAGTAAGAAGAGAGAGGGCGAGACGAAGGGAGTGAGGAAGGGACTTCCAGAGCCTCGGGGCTCAGTGGCTGAAGGCACGGCCGCCGAGGGTGGAGCGGAGGACTCGGGGGACGAGGGGGAGGCCAGACCCGGAGGAACGAAGGCAAGAGGAGAGAGGAGGTCAGAGAGGTCGGGGGGTGCAGAGGAGTGGAGGGATTTGAAGACACATGTCATTGTTCCAGTAAATGTGTATCTGGCTTCAGGTTAGGAAATGAGGACACCAATATTATCAACTTCTTCAAAAACTGTAATGTTTAAACTTATCGCAAGAGCGGCAGCAAGGAAGGATCCTTTATGTTATCGTTACATTCTAATAATATTTACCGGATCTTTTAAACCATGTTTGTCTACAAAATACACGGTTACTATATTTTACAATAAATCCTCTGATTTACTGGAAACTTCCTCTTGGAGACTTGTGAGTTGGGGACTTGGAGACATTAAGGTTGCTATTGCATTCAGTGACTTTTGTCTGCATTAAAAACAATTGCATCAAGCAAACAGCAATAGACCATATCGTTTAAATGTTTCTGTTTTGTGCCAATTGTGTTTTGGAGACAAATATTCGAAGAACAGGTCTTATTGCCATGACCTCAAGTGGCAGTAAATGTAAAAATAAAACTTTCCTTTTTAATCCTTCTTTTGGGATGAGACGTTAAACCGAGGTCCAATCTGTACCTGTTCTTGAGGACTTTAAAGATCCTGCGGAGGTATTGGAAAAGAGAAGGCACTTTGTCTCTCTCTCCCGCTGTCCTGGTCAACAATCCCCCAAACAACATTGATCACTCACTCCATGGCTGTTTGTGGGGACGCTGCTGTGTGCAAACTGGCCTCCGCCTTTCGCCCACAAAGTACACAGTCACTACACTTTACAGTATATCCTACAAAGTGCTTTGAGACGTCTCGACGAGGTGATGGAGGCGGGATATCAAATGCAAGGATCAGAATATATTTGCTTAAACAGATTGCTGTAAATGTTCTTTGATTCTATGATATCTGAAATATCAAAAAAAACGTGATTGAGAAATCTGGATTTAATCTAATTTAATCTGCGAGGAAGGTGTTTGGAAACAGAACACAGACAATACATTGGAGACAGATCATTATGAAAGTCTGCTCTTTGGAAAAAAAGGATCTGAAACTGAATCCGATCAATTCATCTCTGTGCTAACTTCCCACTCAGGTGATTTCATGTGAGAGATAACGAAAGTTGGCATAAAGATTTGTATCTAAGTACTGCGATAAAGATAGCATCGAGTCTTAAATACTTTGATAATAATAATGATAATAATAATCTTTGCATTTGATATAGCGCTTTTCACGTCGGGAGGACGTCCCAAAGTGCTTCACAGAACACACTGTAAAGTGAATTGACTGTATATTTGTGGGCGAACGCGGCAGCCAATTGCACACAGCAATGTCCCACAAACAGTCGTAGATTGAAAATGACCAATTTATTATTGGGTTTTTTTTGGTTTTGGAGGGATTATTATTAGGCTCTGTGTGGAGTAAGGAAACTTGCCCAAAGATTGGCCCTGACCCCCCGGGGATTGAACTCAGGTCTCTCGCTTGCAAAGCGAGTGCTCTAACCACTGAGCTACAGGACTCCACAATAATAATCTTTCTTTTACTTCTGCTTTGCCACCATTTCATGTGTTTTAATACGTAGATTTCGAGCTGGAACATGGGACTGAGTGGAGTATTGATTCAGTGTGAGGATTGGGTGTACGATGAAACCTCACCAGTTTCTCCCTACTAACATGCTGCACACCTCAACCCTCACGAGACTGCCTTCGTTGGGGTTTCCTGAAATAAGTGAAATAAGGAACCTCATTCATGGTTTTCTTGTAAAGGGCTATTTGAGAAAGAAATGGCTAAAAATAATTGGAAATTCCCAATCTGGATCTCAGAACACAACAACAAAAAGCGAAACGCTGAATAGATCTGGTTATTGTGACCCAAACGAATAGCACGGCATTTATTCTGGGTCAATGAAATAGAGACACAGACATATGGAGCAGGGAATTACCGCGATTTTTCCATATTCTTACTTTTGTTCTTGAAAACTCCTATGTTGTTCTTGATAAAGTCGTTATTTTTATCCCATTTGTGCTTGTTGTTTATTGTGTCAGCCCGACTCAGTTGGTAGCACTCTCACTTCTGAGTCAAAGGGTTGTGGGTTCAAGCATTAACTTACATTGTCAAAGGACACACATACACACACACACACAACACACACAATCACAGCACCTCCCCCCCGCCACCCACCACCACACACAACACACACACACACCACACACGCACACACACACACTGCACACACACATCACACCACACACAACACATACACACACCACACACACAAACACACAGCCAATATTAAACCACGGTCCTGTCTGCCTGTTCAGATGGATGTAAAAGCTGCGATCGCATAGCTTGCAAAGAGAAGGGAATTTCTCCCAGTCGGTGTCCTGGCCAACAATCCTCTGAATAAAACTGGTCGTTTATTTCATGGCTGTTGGTAGGACATCTGCATTCGCTGCCACCATGGCTCGCCAATACACAATCACCCCATTCCACTGTGTATCCCGTGAAATACAAGAATTATAATTTAAACAGTCCTTTGATTTTAATCCCGTTTCTCGTGTAGGGAATCATTGCCAGGGTGAGAGTGTAACATTGCAAAGCAGCTGTAGTTGATTTTCTGGGGTAATTACAATAAGCAAATCCAATCTCAAAGAGAATGTACATCAGGTGTTATATACACAAGGGGTCACACACAGTGATATCACTCCGATCAATATCTACAGGTAAGGCTGGCATCAAAGAGCTATTTCACTGTTACACTACATTGATAATAATAATAAAAATAATAAGGCTCCTCACTCCACACCCCTGTTTACCCAGTCATAAGTAGGACCTCGGATGTTTATCGATTGGCGTAAATATCTGATTTTCTGGGGGATAATAATCCCTTAAAAAAAGAATTTGGTCACTCATTCCACGGCTGTTTGTGGGACTTTGCTGTGCGCAATTGGCTGCTGTGTTTCGCCCACAACATACACAGTCAATCCCAGTTCACAGTATATTCTGTGAAGCGCTCTGAGACCTGACCAGCGCTATATCAAATGCAAGGATTATTATTATTCTAAGGCAACAATACATTATGTTTACACAGAGCCTTTCTCGGTGGGAGGACATTCCAAGGTGCTGGAACTCTGAGACAAAGGCACCAAGAAAGCAAAGAAGAAAACACATTGAAGTGTAGACAGAGTGAATTTCCTTCTACACAGCTCAGCAATACTTTCCTTCATTGCAAACTTTGCTAATTTCCACTGACCTTCTGGGCGCTTCACAGGTTGAGCAAAAGTGTTTTGCTGTCAAGCAATGAGATTTATGATTTCTGATATTCCGAGGTAAACAACAATGGGATAATTAGCCACTAATTTCAACTTCCATAGAATCTGTGCTGTATCATTCGGTGTTTCTAAGGTTCTTTAAAATGTGCCTAATCATTATTTGATGTGGGCGTTTATTTTAACTTTTCTGTACAATGGTACCAAGTGTCACCTGTAACTTGATTCGAAGGGAGTTTAACACAGTTCAATCACTTTTCCATGACAATTGCATTTTTTCACAGTGCAATGCAATCCACAATTGCATTTTTCTCTGTAATTTTCCAGTTGAGAATGATGTCACTTCCATACAACCACATACTCACACTCAAGACACTATTTAAAGAGCTGCACTCTTCAGCTCAAGCCACCAGAGCATCACAGAGTAAAGTACAATTACTGCTCGAGGGATCTGAGAGAACATGGCCAGCAAAGTAGCAATCATTGTGTTGCTGGGCATTGCTCTGTGCCTCATATCTACTGACGGTGAGTAGTCATTCATTAAGCAAACAGCTCAGGACGGCAACACAAAAATCCCGGGGATTTCTGACGTAACGGCTGTTCAATCCAATCCCACCCGGGCTCTGGATTCATTTTATTTCTGTAGCATTTTGAGAACTGCCCAGAATTTGGCAAATTGTCAAGCGCCTCGGCCTTTACTCTGAACTCGGTCTCCCGCAGTTCAACAGCAACAACAGCAACAACAACAGCAGCAGCAACGACGACGACGACAACGATCAAAAAATGCCAGTTGCATTGACACAGTGACTTTCACGTCAGGAAGAGGCATCCCAAGGCGTCGGACAGTCAGGGATTTGGACCCGAGCTGGGGATTGGGTTCAGGAGAGTGGGGGAGTAGGAGGGCGGGGAGGGTGGAGGGGTTAGGAGGGTGTCCGAAGGCGCGGTTGGTCAAGGAGGAGGGTCTTGAGACGTGACTTGAAGGAGGAAGGGAGGGAGGGGGCGAGGCGGAGGGACTGTGGGATGGAGTTCCAAGGGCTGGCGGCAGAGAGGCTGAAGGCCTGACTGCCGATGGTGGAAAAGGCCGCCCGGATTCAGAGAAAAAACTTACAGAGAAAAAGCTAAGGCTCTGTTTGTGGGATTGTGAATGTGACAGAGAGCGAGAGAGTCAGTCCCTATCCACGGCGCAATTCCTCCCTCTGCATTTATTTGCCTCACAAATCATTCTGATTTGCAAATGTGGTTGTTAAAGGCTAATTGATTGTTTTAATCTGTTTTTCCCAGCTGTTGTTCGCCTTCCCAGGCAGAGACGTTGCAGATGTTTTAACCTGGCCAATAATTTATCGCCTGACATGAGGATCAAGAACGTTAAAATATTTTTCAAGCAGGGTTTATGCTCAAAGGTGGAGATCGTGTAAGTCATTATCAACCTCAGGAACTATCACAGCTTCACGTATTGTGTGTGAAACTTCACTCTATTTGAGTGGAAAAAGTCACCTCCGACTAATAACGGTTTCATCTCACTTTATTATAGAGTCAACTTGAACAGTGGCAGGAGAATGTGCTTGAACCCTGACTCCAAAATGGGGAAGAAAATGATTAATTTCATGAAAACGTAAGTTTAACAGTCAGGGTTTTAAGGAATGATACTTAAATTAAAAATTAAAGTGTGGCCTGTTTGCTTTGCATATATATATATAATTTAAGTAATAAACAACTTCATATCAGACAGGTAAGGGTGGTGTGAAATCAGTATTAATGGGAGTGCTTAATTTGCAGGGTGCCCTAATTATTATTGTTAAAATAATCTATTTTTTAAATAAACCCTAATAATAATAGTAATAATCCTTGCATTTGATATAGCGCCTTATCATGTGGTTGAGACGTGACAAAGCGCTTCACAGAACATATTGTAAAATAGTGTGACTGTGTATTTTGAAGGCGAAACAAATTGCAAAATTTTTTGTTTCTTTCCAGCAAACCTCGTTCTAACTGAATTGGCCACTGAATGGCTCTGGACACAAAACGGTGCACGTCGTCGCAAGGTCTTGTTCTACTTTGGATACAAATCCCGAAAGAGCGCACGTAGATTGCTAAATAAACATAGAAGATGGATTAGAATACTGGATTTCTAGATGTGATGTTTCTTGCAGATTGTGCAATGCCTTTGCTTAGGTTTCTCAGCATCCTTTATGTCTGAGCCTTGTATAAATATGACCCAATTGTTATGTAAATGATGTTGAAAAACTATGTCTTATTTGGTTCCGAATGCATCAACAATTGAACTTTTGATTCTGTTGATATTATTTCAACACTATTTAGTTCCAATGTAGATGGCTGTGAACTTTTGGTATATATTTTCTGTACCTTTTCTAGGATGTTTTCATAATAAAAAATAGCGCCTATTTTATGTTGCCTATTTCAATACTCCTTCCTCATCCCTTACTTGTAGCGACTGCAATGAATTGTCAACTAAAACGTGAACTTAACACTGTTGCAGATTGCAATTTAATGCACTTTACATTGATATATTGCCTTTAAGGAAGGCTTTGAAAGTGACTGAGTGACATAAACACATGGTTTCGATACCATTGACCACTCTATCCTCCTCCGCTGTGGGACGTCCTCCCAACATGAAATGACACATGTCATTTTGTTGTTGTTGTTGTTCTTTCAGAGCTGCTAATCAACATAACAAGTTCACATTGAGTGCATATATCTTTCCTTGTCCGTTTCTGTTCAGAAAGACAACATGAAGTTGAAAATTTGCAGAACAAATAAAGAACATTGGGTATATAAGAACATAGGAACAGGAGGAGGCCATTCAGCCCCTCGATCCTGTTGCGCCATTCTATAAGATCATGGCTGATCTGTACCTCAACTCCCAATTAAATAAATAATAAGGGGGAAGGACAGTATTCAAGGTTAAGACCAGAAAGAAAAAATATCCACCAGCAGATTTCTGCTGAATTACTTGTCACTTCCAACTACAAATCTTACGAATCTTTCCACTCGGTCATAAAAATAAAATACCCCCCAAATAACTTATCTTAAACAGCTAACTGCCACCCTCGCTATCAAAGAGAAATCAATGGGATTGTGTAAGTCATTTGGCACTTCCGTTTGATCAGCCGAGTGTCTCGCGACTCCCATCACTGGGCTTTACAAGTATCCAAACCAGACCGAGTGTCTCACATGCACACACCGCCGTCACTGAGTGTTCTTCTGAGTTCACCCTCTCAATCCCATTGAGTATTTTTGGGATCTCCTGCGAGTTGGTGCGTTGTGAAAATGAAAGAGCCTCCAGCTTCTTTACTCATTATTCATAATAAAAATAATAATAATAAACCTTGCATTTCATACAGCGCCTCATCACGTCTTCGAGACCTCTCAAAGCGCTTCCTTTGATGCACTGTGAAGTGAATTGACTGTGTATTTTGTGGGCGGAAACGCGGCAGCCAATTGTGCACAGTCCTCACAGCTCGTCCTTCTGACACGGTAGATTGCTTTCCTCTTGCACTGTATCTAGGGCCTGGGTACCTGCCTCATGTTGTACACCCAGACTTCTACTCACTGCTGGATATACTCTCTGGGGTTCTGTGCTCAACTCGACACTATCGTTGCTGGTGAGGTTTGAACCCACGGGAACCGAGCAAATGTTGTTAGCGTAGGCACGAAAGGTGACAGAACCGTCCGCACCTGACAACTAGAGATCCATTAGCCGGATCTCAAGAATTAGAAAAATGATAGTCGATTATTAAAAAAGAATCAATCCAATGCAGTCCTGTAGCTCAGCGGTTAGAGCCCTCGCCTCGCCAGCGAGAGGACCTGGGTTCGATCCCCGGGCAGGGAGAAACCTTGGGCAAGTTTCCTTACTCCACACACACACGCCTCTGTTTACCAACAGTCAGTAGGAACCCAGTTGTAGTCGATTGGTGGATCGCTTTCAAGAGGTAATAATTCCTTCAAAATAAACAAAAATAATTTGGTCACTCAATCCACGGCTGTTTGTGGGACATTGCTGTGCGCAATTGGCTGCCGCGTTTCGCCCACAAATATACAGTCAATTCACTTTACAGTGTATCCTGTGAAGCGCTTTGAGACGTCTCAAAGACGTGATGGGGCGCTGTGTCAAATGCAGAGATTATTATTATTATTATTATTATTATTTCATCAAAGCTGCTGTAATTGTCATTGATCAGCCATCACTTCTGAATGGTTGGTTAACCTGTTCTGCTAATAATTAAGGATAGTATTTTAACGCAAGATGTAACTTTTCTCCAGAAATCTTGGTTTTCTTTCGTAAACACCACTGGCCCATTTTGAGCTGTTGTTGGAACAGAATTGCATTGCCACCTTGTGGTGATGTATAATACATATTAACATTTCTCTTCTCAAATTTCAAACGTAGAACTGATTACGCAGCAAATTCTAAAACTCACCAGAACTATTCACATCATTCCCGGAATCTCTGAACGAACTGCTGTGTTGAACGTAATTACCGACTTTTCAAAAAAACTGGTGCAGATTTCATTATTTTTATACTCTGTTATTATATAATAATATAATAATAGTAATAATGATCCCTGCATTTGATATATCGCTTTTCACGTCTTCTCGACATCTCAAAGCGCTTCACAGAATACACTGTAAAGTGAATTGACTGTGTATTTGTGGGCAAAACGCAGCAGCCAATTGCGCACAGCAATGTCCCACAAACAGCCGTGGGTTGAAGTGACCAATTTATTATTGTTTTTCTTCTTGAGGGATTGTTATCAGGCTCGTGTGTGTGGAGTAAGGAAACTTGCCCAAGGTTTCGCCCTGACCCGCCCGGGAATCGAACCCAGATCTCTGGCTTGCGAGGCGAGTGCTCTAACCGCTGAGCCACAGGACTCCACAATTATCAACAATTAAACAAACAAATTATGCCCTTACAGGTCAGGAGGACATCCAGAGGCGTTGGACAAAAATGATGTTCAAAAGTTTGCAAGTTAACATTTCACAGCTACAAAACCCTTTTGAGTGCGTTGGTTAGATTATTAATAGGTCATTGCTAATGCTTCCCCATCAGTCCAGTTGGCTGAGGCATTGTCCAGTGAGAAACTCTACTGTACAGATCTGCAGATCCAGGTTATTATAACAATAATAATAATAATAATATCAGTTGATACAGCGCCTTAACACATTGTTGAGACGTCTCAAAGCGCTTCACGGAACCTATTGATTCAGAGTCAAGAGAGTTACCACTTGACCAAGTCTGACATTAGGACATATAGCATTGAAATATCTCAAAACTCTTCACTGTAAATAACTATCAAGTGTAGTGACTGTGTAATTATAGGCACACTTGGCCGGCAATTCGCCGTCTTGTTGTTACAATATTAATTTCTCAGCCTTTTTCTGAAACAAAACTTTTTAAACAAAGTCGTTCAGTGTCGGTGGTTATCTTCTGCTTTCAGAATTTTTGAAAGGCAGAACATCATTCAACCCACACGCCAAGGACGAAACGTTACACGAGCCGCATTTCATCGGTGGGAATTTCCAATTCCATTGTCACCTCTGAAGTCACCCAAGTGTCTTGGCAAATCTAACCACAGCACCTATATAAAGCGCTTGATTGCTTCCCTCCAGACAAAACATCGCTCGCTCGTACCTAAAGCGGAAACAGAAGTCATTCGGCAGAAAATGTCTAGCAAAGCCTCATTCGCCGTGTTGTCAATCATTGCCTTGTGTCTGGCGTGCGTCCAGGGTAAGATATATCTGATCGTTATAACTGGTGAATTGCACTTTGGTTGATTTGGCTGCTCTGTGGGAAACACTAAGGTGTTAAGTCAAAAATAGAAGCAGTTTCTCATCTGATCAGAAATCGAATTTGGGGGTTTGCAAACCCCCATCTCTGACTTGTACCACAGGAGAAACCTAACACTTTTCTTTTCTGCAGCTCAACCTCTTTTGCATAAAGGGAGACGTTGCAAATGCATCAACACCATCAACCGGTTACATCCTTCAATGAGAATCAACAATGTTAAAATCTTGGTCCAACAGGATTATTGTCCAAACGTGGAGATCATGTAAGTCATCACTTCTGTGTTCCTCTCGTGTGAAAGAGACGTTCACGCGGGGAAGTGAAGTCATCTTCAATTACGCTCTTCTCTTATCTCACCTTCTAGCGTCAATCTGCAAAATGGCAACAAAATCTGCTTGAACCCAACGTCAGTGATCGGAAAGAAAATCATTAACCTGATGGAGCTGTGAGTACATTGTTCATCCTTGATATAAATGGCTTTCCCTTATCGGGTAATAATAATAATAATACTCCCTGCATTTGATATAGTGCCTCATTACATCATCGAGGCATCTCAAAACGCTTCACTGTAAACTGTAAAGTGGCACGACTCTGTATTTTGTGGGCAAATGTGACAGTCCAAATTGCAGACGGCAATGTCCCACAAACAGCTATGAAGTGAACAATTAATTCTATTTGAGGGACTGTTGGCCAGGACACGGGGAGAAACTTCTGTAAGATATAGTCTTATGAAAATCCCTTCAGAAAGTGGCTCTTCTGACTCTGAGCCGCAGGGTTTACGAAAGAAAAATGTTTCAAAAGTTTTACAGAGAGTTAAAAATATATATTAATCACATAAACGCTGTTTTATCATAATTAATAATAGTTTACCCTATATCTTTTTTTGTATCATATCAAATAAAAAGTGCAAGTATTTTAAAATGTTCAAATCAAACTACGAGCACTGTATTTACAGTCACCTCAGTATTATTCTGTAACTCTGCCACAAATATTTACATCAAAACATTCCCTCTCTCCACAGCAAAAAGAACGAATAAACTGAATGAACAAAAATAATGTTACCGGCCGCAACAGTTAACACGGAACAAATTGAACGAGACTGAGAAATGGGAACAGTTATTCTGCGTGACACGGAAATATGAAGACACAATATTTTGTTTTGCTATTTACAGTTTTTAAGCTTATATAATTTTTTCATTGTGGATCTCACAAATCCTAAACTAGGAGACCAAACACCCAATAATCTTCCAAATGACTCAACGCGCTCACAATGTTTCATCATTTCAGTAATAAAGGGCTGATTGATGGCACTGAAGCCGATCTCCCAACCGTGACTTGATGAAGCGTTATATGAAGTTTTCGTGATATTAGTTAGAAACCGACTAAAAAAAAATGTTCGGTTTTTTTTGGATGCCACATCAAAATGTTGTCTCTGAAGGCTGCTTTGCAAGTTTCCGCTTTAAACAGCCGGATTGATGGTCTCCGAGTTTAAAAAAAAGCTATTTCGGGAGTCAAGATGTGGTATTATAAATCGGTATATTGATAATGGCATCGATTAGTTCTCAAAATTGTGTCGCGCTTTGCTAGTGTGGATTGTCGCCAAACATTGCCTAACCAGAAGGTTACTTGTGAGTTTGGTCCAGTCGTCAATTTTTTTTTATATAGCAATTTTAAAGGCATTTACGCGAAAAAAAAAAGCGGGGGGGGGGTGTGGGGGTGGGAGTGCGGGGTGGGGGGGAATACAGCTATTTTTAATTACTTTCCGAATCACGGTAAAGTTTTCATTACGTCATTTAGAGACAGCTCTAAAAATGAGTATCGTTTGCTCGGGTATGACAAGAAGCAGAGATGTTTCTGATGGCGGTTGCACATCGCTGAAACGTTCTATTTCTTTACGCGTCGCCGTGCAGGATTCTTTTAATGTGTCGGCCAATAAAAAAATACAAGAACGACCGCACGTTGCCCCGAGTGTGTTTTCACTTCTAACAAAGAATCGATAAAGCGCAATATTAAACACTGTCAAAACTGTCTCGCGGAAGCTTCAGCCGATAACCAGCGCAGGGATGTCCACTCGGAGGGGGAATGGGTGGAATTCTCAGCTTGGTTTGGAGACCCTTGAGAACGGTGACGGGATTTCGTGTGTGTCAGACGCCCGGCCGACTGACAACAACAACAACAACAAAAAAAAATAGCTGTCAGCACCTGACATCTGCTTGGGCTTGTGAGTCAGACGTCTGTGGGCTTTGAACGCACAATTCTAAGCCAACACTTGAAATGCAAAGCTGCGCTTTCATGCTGTGAAACTATTTTCTACTCATCACCGTTTTTCTTGAGTAACCGTTCCCCTTTCAATCCCTCCGTCGACGATAAGAATAATCATAATACTTACATTAGATATAGCGCCTTATCGCGAACTTGAGACATCTCAAAGCGCTTCACAGGATACACTATGGGTTTTACACGGTGAACTCGTAATTATGAAACCGGTCGCAGTATTTGCCGACACCAAGATTGTTTGGAGATGATAAAAGTGATACTAAGTTAGATGAGTAATACAATTATGAATCACTGGGTTATGAATGAGCTCATGAACAATTAAAGAAGAAAATAATCGACTACAAAACTAGGCATTGCAGCAGCTGTGGGATCTAACAGTCACTGGGAATAGTCTGGTGTTGGGGCAACTCTTTCCTCATGCGATTTGTACTATTCTACACATTCCTGTGAATGGCATAACAAATGTCATCTCCTTCAGATAGCCAACAGCCCTGAAACCTTCTCATAGACCACATTAGACTGATACTAATATTAATAATCCTTGCGTTTCATAGAGTGTCTGATCACGTCTTCGCGACGTCTCAAAGCGCTACACAGATTGTACTGTAAAGTATAGTGACTGTGCATTTTGTGGGCAAAACGCGGCAGCCAATTGCGCCCAGCAGCGGCCCCACAGACAGCCGTGGATTGAAGTGCCCAATTTGATTATGATCAGTGAGGGTGGCCAAAAAAATATATATCACATCATCAAACTCCTTGTCAAAAGAAATTTTAACTTGTGTGTTTGCAGTTTTAGTTCGTGGCAATGTAACATTTACCAGCGTAACTTCTTTAACTTGTGTTGCCTCTATTCATACAAAATGATATTGGTGAAGAGCATTTCACGTCGAGAGGACGTCCCAAGGTGATTGTTTATTCATATCATATTGAATGTGCAAACAAGGAATTTCTGACATGAAAATAGTTGTAACTCGTAAGTCAGACTGGAAGATGAACCATCTCTTCGAGTGGCTTCATTTCCGTCTCTTTAACGCACTGGTTTCAGGTTCAGTGGAAGGCAATACTCAAAACTAAGCAAAGTACAATAACTTACAATAACTAACCAGCAATAACTTCTGAACTGTTGACTTGCGGGAAGATAAAGGTGCAACTTCAGTGGGGAAAAAACCGTCACTTCACACCTCTCGTCATCTCTGCCGCAGCATTTAATCACGTGTGTGAAACCGTAAAGGCCAAACCACGCTTTCCTTCCCTCGTCTGTGCAGGAGAGTGATCAGGAGCGGGGAGAGTTGAGGAGGGGAGAGGAGAGGGGGGAAGAGGCGAGGGGAAGAGGGGAGTGTTGTGGTGGAAAGAAGCACGATGGCAAGCGAGCGACAGTAATAATCCTTGCATTTGACACAGCGCCTGATCACGTCTTCGAGACGTCTCAAAGCGCTTCACGGGATACACTGTAAAGTGAATTGACCGTGTATTTTGTGGACAAAACTCGAGAGACAATCGCGCACGGCAGTGATGTGATAAAGATGTGATAAAATGCTACATCAAATACAAGGATGATTATTGTCTGTTGTTTTTTCACCCCCTCTCTTGTCTGTTCCTCGGCCCTTGTCTGATGTTGAGGTCTGGTTTAGGGTTTCTCTGTCTGTTGATCGGAAGCTGAATGTAGGGCATAAAAGTAGAGGTGAGGTAGCGGGTTATTTTTAAGGCTAAATTGTCTGCACTCGGGTTATGCATTGTCACGTAATCTGGCAGATAGTGCAAGGTTTTAGAAGATGTCAAATGAATTGAGCTTCAAACAATAAAATGGTATTTACTTGCTATTTCATTTCATTTGTTTGCCAAATATTTTTGTGGCTACTGTGTATTCTCTTGGTAATAATAGCAATCATAATCCTTGAATTTGACACAGCCAACGGCTTACCACGTCGTTCAGACGTCTCAAAGCGCTTCACTGGATATTCTGTAAAGTGTGGTGACTGCGTGTTTTGATGGATTGGATCGCGGGAAGGGGAGAGAAGGAGGAAAGCACCAAAAAAAAAAACTACTTCCAAAGCTGGAAGTGGACAATTATCAGAAAAAAATCTGACGATAAAAAAAATCATGTTTTATTTTGTGGGACTTTAACTTTTGCTTTTCTTGTGAATCGCAGATGGTGATATGTTGACAAACCACTGGGGTTCCCCAGTCACGAACAACATTTGGCTAACACCTTTCGTGCAGTGACCCTTTCTATCTGTTGTACTTCTTTCTTTCAATAAGAAAACAAACACAACAGTCGAAACTGAAAGGGAGAGAAGTTTGTTTTGGGTGGTGGGGAGGGGTTGTGTTATCAGGGAATTATTCTGTGGGTGTGGAACGCACCATGTGAGCGTACTTACCATGTCAAAGTCGAGGATTAGCTTTCCCTTTCCTTCACAGGTTGTTGTAACCAGTAAAGAAGAAAACATACTTTTCACAATTAATAATAATGGGATTCTCTCAGAATATTCTACTTTTGTAATAATAACAATCTTCGCATTTGATACGGCGCCTCATCACGTCTTGGAGACGTCTCAAAGCGCTTCACAGGATATACATCAAGTAAATTGACCGTATATTTTGTGGGTGAAACGAGGCAGCCAATTGCGCACAGCAGCGTCCAACAAACAGTCGTGGATTGAAGTGACCAATTTATTTATTTTTTCTTGAGGGATTATTATCAGGTGCGCGTGTGGGTGTGTGTGGGTGTGGAGTAAGGAAACTTGCCCAAGGTTTCGCCCTGACCTGCCCGGGAATCGAACGCAGGTCTCTGGCTTGCGAGGCGAGTGCTCTAACCGTTGAGCTACAGGACTTACGGCTGATTCGTTTACAGTCTCCAAACCTTTCTCAAAACCTGCCGATTGTCACCTGCGTTCACTCTTCTCCACTGTTAAGCTCTCTGATACTATGCCACAGCGTGAAGGGCGCTATATAAATGCAAGTGATTGTTGTTGCATTCGCCGCAGGGAACAATATTACAAGCCTTGACAGGGACTGGTTCCTGAACAAACAGGATGATCACCGGCAAGAAAAACAAGAGTCCCCCAAACACTGGTTGTTTTACCCAAATCTGTTCTTTCATCAGCAAATGATAATCCATCTCTGCGACACCATAAACAGCCGTCAGTTTAACACGACATTCCAGCCACCAGCCAAGGGAACAAAAACACTATGGGGGCCATCTGGCATAAAACACGATTAAAACAGATAGTTTTGAGATGCCATTGGCAAACTGTTAACTTGTTAGTGTTCTTTATTGCTCTGCATCAGTGTCTGCTTTTTTTAAAATCTGTTATCCGTCAATATGATAATAATTTGGCCACTCAATCCACGGCTGTTTGCGGGGACGCTGCTGTGCGCAATTGGCTGACGCGTTTCACCCACAAAATACACAGTCAATTTTACTTTACAGCGTATCCTGTGAAGCGCTTTGAGACGTCTCGAAGCTGTATCAAATGTAAGGATTATTATTATGATAACAAGACTCATATCACCAACCAGCAATGGGGATGTTAATGCAGTCCAGGCTTTTTTTAGTCTGACTTCAGGGACCCTGTGTTAGACACAAACATTAAGTAATTTGCTATTTAACCACCAGTTCCCCAATTTAAACAAACTTTAGTGATAACAAGACTTCTGCAGCAACGGGAAAGTTGAAATAATCTGAGATGAATATTCACTTCTGTTTTCTTTTAGATGGTGCATCAAGTTCCTTTTTCTTGTTGTGCTTCTAACATGACACAGGTGATTTTAAAGGCATTAATTAAGGCCCAACACATAGTGATGAGATGTTACACTGAGGCCCCATCTACCTGTTCAGGTGGAAGTTAAAGATCACATGGAGAAGGCAGTTTCTCTTTCTCTCTCTCTCCCGGGTTCCTGCCCTACAATCCCCCAAATAAAATTGGTCACTCACTTCACGGCTGTACGTGCGACATTGCTGTGCGCAAATTAGCTTCCGTGTTCACCTACAAACGGAGTTAGTTATTATATAGATTTACGATACTTAAAAATTGAGATATTTTTCATTTGTCTGCATTTTGTGCGCAATTGGCTGCCGCGTTTCGCCCATTAAAGTACACAGTCACTCCACTTGACAGTATATTCTGTTAAGCGCTTTGAGACGTCTCGAAGACGTGATAAGGCACTGTATCAAATGCCAGGATTATTATTACTATTACTATTATTAGTTGCTTTAATTAGCAAATCATACCTGACTCGATTTCTAACAAATATATTTTCGTGGTTGCTTCATTTCGCTTGTTTTCATTAATTTTATGACTGTGCATTTCTAACTCGACTTTTCCTCCTTAATTTGTTTTTNGTTTCCTCTTTTTTTAAAATGGGATTTTTTTTTTTAGAAGCTCTAAATGGTGAGTTCAGAAACAAAAACTAAAAGAAAACTGTGGGTTTCCCAGAAAGGCTCGAGATAAACTTTCTTGAGGAATTTTTATAACCGCATAAACCACATTTCTGATGTTTAAGTTCACTATATAAACATCAGGACACTGACTTCATCTATACTGTCAAGAAGGAAGAGCCAAGGAGAAGTGTGAGGATCCGATTGAGAGATGGTCAGTAAAGTGATAATCCTTGCACTTGTTGCTGCGTGTTTGATCTTTGCAGAAGGTAAGAGATAGACTGTAAAAAATAATATTATTATTTCTGCTACTTCCTTAACTTTCACCCACAAAGTACACAGGCGATTCGGAGGCTTGATAAGGAACGATATCAAACGCGAGTATGATTATTAATATTATGATTATCATTATTATAATAACCTTGCATCAATAAAACCAGATATTGATGCAAAACATAGCACGGTGTGTAACAAAAAAAAGACTGCAATGAATTTCGACTGGAGCATCCTTGTCAGCTCTTTGACTCTGGTTGTCAACACTTTGTGGCTGTCACTCCCGGGAAGCACTGATTTTATACACAGCTGAGTAAACGGCGTTCATCTGCTGTACCATTCAATAATAATAATAATAATAATAATAATCCTTGCATTTTATGCAGCGCCTTAAGCCCTCGCCCTGATTCTGTGGATGTTTGTTGACAAGCAAACTGAACGTCAGTAAATCAAAATGTGCCTCGAGTTCAGCTGCTTCCCTTAGAACCAAAAGTGAAAGTGCGATTAGGAGAGAGAGGTCAGAATGAGCCTCACCGCGACATTGACATTGTGTTGAAGGAATGTGTGTTTGTGGCAGAACCTACAGGAAAAGCAGATTTTTGCCATCATACAAAGCAATCTGCCTCCTTTATTCAGAGCTTAATAATAAAAGACATCAATCAGCACAACTCTAAGAGAATAAATGCCATTACAAATAGAGCGATGGTAATAGTACAGTATACTTGGAATCAGTGCTTTCACATCAGGAGGGCATCTCAAAGCCCTTCACAGGATATTTACTGTAAAGTTGTTGAGATGTCTCAATAATAAGAAATCATGCCCAGATTGACAGAGTTCAACGACCTTTCGATTTAACGAGACTTATTTAACACGAGACTGAAAATAAAGTAAGATAACCAAACTTAACGGAAGTGCAAGTGTAATCTTAGCAACTCCCACTTTTAAAGCATTTTAAGTGATGAAAATAAAGTCCCTCTGTATTTTTCTCAGCTGCAGCTTCACCCTTCACAAGCCGTCTGAAACGGTGCCGTTGCATTCAAACAATCGATGCAATCGACCCCAGGGATATCAAGCTCGTTAAAATCCTCCCACAGCGCACCTCCTGTGATAAATTGGAGATCATGTAAGTGAACTCGGATTAAACATTACAGACCTGAAATTCCACTTGTTCTGAGTCCATAACAACAACAACGACTGACATTTACACAGCGCCTTTCACGTTAGGACGTCCCAAGGCGCTGGACATCAAGAGGTCGATGGCATTGATTTATGGATCTATTTTGATGGCCGACCAAAAGGTTCACTTTTAAACACTTGTAAATTGTGTTGTATTGTTTAATTTTTAGAGTCATCAAAAATGGCAAGAAGCTATGTTTGAATCCTAACTCCGCCATGGGAAGGAAACTTGTGGGTTTCTTTCATTTGTAAGTGCAATACAATATTTATTCTTTTATTTCGAGTAGTTTAGAGGTACTTAAGAAATGCACTTTGCTACATCAATGGAACTAACATTAATTTAACAAAAAACATTTGAAGCGGAGCTCACACATGCTGTAGATCGTGTTATCTTTTCAAATTAATTTTCACATTTCCAATTGTGTGGATGTATAATAATCATTTGATGTCACGGGTTAACATTTAAAGTCTCTCGTTTACAGCATTGTATAAATAACTTACTTTTATTCCACCCTTAATTCGTTGTCTGTGGCAGAAATAAAACGTCTGTTCTTAATGAACTACACATTAGTGATGATCTCGATACATCAATAATTACTGTCCCAAAAAGAATTCATGCTCTTTCCCTGTATTACTTGGAATTCATATCTTACAATAATAACAAATGATAATTATTTTCTTCCACAGTAAAATGAAGAATCCACAGGGATGACACGATGTGCCTAATGCAGCAATGGACCAATAGATAACTTTCCATTCCTATCTGACAATCGCCCCTAAACCATTCTATTATTAACGCTTGAAATAATTCGACCAGCGGTAATCACAGGAGTTGCTTTCTGACAGGTTAACTGCAAACTGAAGATTGGGTGTTTAAGAGTTAATTCTATATAATGACACAAAATGTATTCAATCTGATTGAAAGGTATCACGTCAAAGTCTCACCGTTTCCCATGTGTTGATAAATTGTCCATCCTTACAATAGAATAATAATCCTTTCGTTTGACTTGGTACCTTAGGACGCCGTCAAGACATCTCAAAACGCTTCCCAGAATTTCACTGTAAAGTGGTGCGACTGTGTATTTGTACACAGCAATGTTCCACAAACAGACTTGACTAGATCTGGGGGAATTTGGCCAGGACACTACAACAACAACAACAACAAGATTCCATTTATAGAGCGCCTTTCACGTCGGGAGGACGTCCCAAGGCGCTGGACAGTTGGGTCAGGACCCGAGCATTGGGGGGGAAACGGTCAGGGTGAGGGGAGAAACTCCCTTGTCCTTTCCAATAATCCCAATTGGATCTTTACCATCCAAATCTAACACGACCAGACCTCAATTTAATGTCTCAATGTCTCCTTAAAGACATTGGGTTTAGTTTAGTTTTCCCTCGATTGTTCTGCTAGTACAATGAACCCAAAAGGGCATGAAATATTTATACTAGCAGATAAAGTTGACCAACATATTTTGTAAGCAGTGTTACACAGTATCTTGAAACTCGATCCTGTCAACTGTGAAATGTAATCTTGGCATCCTGACATTTCACGCAAATCACCTTATTTTAATACATCTCGTAAATACTGGGTTCTATTGGCTGCCGCATTTCACCCAAAATACAGTCGATCCACTTTACAATATATCCTGTGAAGCGGTTTGAGACGTCTCAAACACATGATAAGGCACTATATCAAATGCAAGGGTTATTATTATACAGTTTGTATAAAGCAGCAAGCAGAGAGGAGAGGGAATATGATATCATATCAGGAATGAACATGCAGCAGTCCCTGCTCCCCACTTATGTGTTGGAAAATATTTAGGAGAGATTATGGGAACAACCAAAATGCCAAGTCAGTACTTTGGAAAATCTGATGTCATATTAAGAGAAACTCTTGTAAATGCCAATCAGATTTGTTAACTGCACCTGTTATTCTTTAAATCACTATAACCTTTGTTCTAATAAATTGTGGTCAATTATTGTATTGCATAATTTCTGAGCTTTGCTGATTTGTGTATTTACACAATAAATCACTCTTTTAAGCATTTGGCTCTTGGAATTAATTTTTGAAGCGCTTTGAGACGTCTCGAAGACGCAATAAGGCGTTGTATCAAAAGCAAGGATTATTATGTCATTATGTTATGATATTATTATAAAACTTTCCACATTATATTATTAACTTTCCACGCACTGTGGTTCTGTGCTGCTTCCTAAATCCAAACCTGTCAACCATAACAGGAACTACGTTTTCCAGTCAATTGTGGAATTGAGAGTAGAACCAAAATCCTTCTGTAAAAATACATCCTTTATTTCTCTAGGCCTAGGTACTGAATTAATATTCAAATGTTTTGCATTTCCTGGTGCCCCCTTTAAAAAAAAGTCTCTCCACCTCGCCCCCTCCCTCGCCTCCTTCAAGACCCGTCTCCTCAAGACCCCCCTCTTTGACTATGCCTTCAGTCCCCTCCCTCCTCCACCCTCGCTGCTCAGTGTCTGAAAGCATCGCTGTTAAGGACATTAATTAAGTGAAAGGCATTATACAAGTGCAAATTGTCATGAGGTCAGCATGAAGTCATAGATTCAAACACTATAGCTCAATCTTTACATCGGGCCAATTCATGAACCCCAGATGTCTAAATTGTGCCTAACTGTCTCAACATACACAACATCGATTGGGTGTCGAAGATATAATTTCTTGTCGCCTTTATTCGCAGGTTTGTGCAATACTTTTTAACTACTGCATTTCTATTTGAATAAATACAGCAAACAAAAGTTTGAAATAGATATACAATTTATTGTCCCAAGCTGTGAGTAGGAAAAATACACCTGTGTATGGGAACAAGCAGACCCTATTTATGGAAAAAAAACATTGTACTACCAACTGCTATTCAATTTAAGCCAAAAGATTTACATAAGACATGACTTGAGAAGCCCTTGTTTACCAATCCATCCCAAATGTCATTGAAGAAGCTGCCTGGGTGGCTATAACTGTTAACTAGTGCAGATGTGATTGCTGGTTTGATCAGTGCACTTATAAAGAATGGTAAACAAGACTTATCTCAGTGCATCATATAGTGAAATCTGTAAAAAATAGGTTTAGTAGAGAACTAAAATATGTCCTTCTAACCTGAGTAGTGATCATTACTAAAGAAAGAAATCTGGAGAGGATTCGGTTTCCTGTAACCTACACTTTACCATAAATGACTCACGAGAATTCATTTACGTTCAGATACAGGCAGGAGTAAAATGACTAACACAAGGTGGGTTTGCTACTTTTCTGAATGGATCTAAAGGGTTTTACTTAATCTTACACGTGCACCCATTTCTGGGATGGGTTTTTTTTTGCAATTTTTTTTGTGTGTGTAAAACCCAAATAATATTTCACTGCACATGTGGGACTTTGCATTCATCATATACTGCATATAAAGGTTCTCAAAAATGTCCTACCAAAGAGAGAAAGTTTAATTTCAATACAGTATTTGAATAAGACACCACACTTTAATCAGTCACAAAAATGAACAAGTATACAATAGCATTTGAATTTGGTCTGTAGGTAATTGATAGGAATCAACAGCCCCTTTGAATTGTGTACTGTATAATCCACTTGAGTGACCATGAAATTGAAACACTGACAAAGATCAATACTGTATGGCCACTTTATCTAACTTACTGTTGTTTTGGGGGGTTTCATGATGTACACATTAACAAAATGGTAAAAAGCAAGGAAAACATGAGTAAACACTTTTTATTCACACTTTACAAAAAGCTACTCATTAAATCTACTACAACAATACTACCAGTAATTAGTTTACCGATTATAAATTGGACACGTTTCCTATTTGCACAAACAAAAGACTGCAGGTCCCAGACAAAGATTCAATAAAATATACTGTGGGTATTTTGTCGCTTATTGGGTAGAAAACTTAAGTTAAGCCAATTTGCTGATCCGATCCGGGATTTGACTTGCACCCACCATCTTTTTAAGTGCTACGCCAGTCTTTGTTCCGTTTTTTTTTTAAAAAAAAGGTTTTAAATCAGTTAAAAAAAATTGTTTTAATCCACTCAGCTGCTTTTCCGCATCAACTGTAAACTGGAATAACGACCGGTCCCAATTCTTTTAGTGTCATGCTGTGTTCTTTTTGTCTCTCTCTGCCTGCAGTTGAAACTAAAGAGCTAGATCAAACTATACCTCTGGCTCATTCAATGCATGATATAGTACAAGCTAATTTCCAAAGGTTCCCCTTTCTTTCCCCCTAAGACCTCGAACAAAAGCACAGCAAAAGCTAACCTACTAAAGCTTGCACACTTGGCTTTAAGAATATGCTATAGGCTACCAATGGCACAATGAACAGAGAGCGGAGATATAGCCGTGGTCCAGCTGGAAAACACAAAAGCATGACTTTTGCCGCTTAATTTATTTATATATATATATTTTTTAAAAAATTCATTTGAAACTTTGTCTGGATGACCTGTATGCAAACACAGCTCGGTTCTAGTTTACACTGCTTCAGAACATTAAAATTCCTACCAAGGAATGATACTTCTCTACAAGATCAAAGCACACGACATTGACTGCGCAAAGTCTTACACGATGCAGCGTTCCTTGGTGAAAAGTAGCACTGTGCAAAGAGACAGAAGCAGTGCCAGGGTACAATGGGTAAAAGTTACACTCTATACCCTACTGTACCCAACCTGATCAACAATGTGGTGTTCATTGCTCCACAAGAAAAAAAATGCCACAGAGCTTATACAAAAGTGTCTTCATAAAATCTCACAAATCTTAACAGTTTTTTTTTATTGTTTAAAAAAATCTCAAAAAGAAGCTGCTCAGGATCTCTCCGCCTGCACAGGCAGTGCTGGTTCCAAATAAAACCTCGAAAAAAATATAATAAAAAGGTCAATGAGGCACACGTCATGTTAAAAAAAACTTATAATCAGAGGATTTGGGGAGTGGGGGAACGGGGGAGTAATTCAAATAGATTGCAAGGTCAGAACACTGATACCAAATCCTGAGGAGTGAAATAATTGACTTTAAATTAACAATGTCCTCAACTGTAAAGAGTAGAACGAACACGAGTTACAAATCCAGAACAGTGCAAATATTAGCGGAGGAAACCTCTTGCAACTTCTTTTTTTTTTTACAAATGTTTTTTTTAAAGCATGAAACAGATAAAAATTTAGCCTTAGTTTACAATACAATCATTTTTTTTTCCCAAATCTGTTTTAAATTTTTTTTAGTACAAAATTCCTTAAATCAGGTCTTCTGTGGTTCATATACAATCATTAAAGGCTAAATTCAAATTCAATTTTATACAAACACTTCTCAAAATTGTAGGAGTGAAGTATGGAAAGAAAGGTCTTCAAATGGCTACTACTGGCCTGAAATAGTAGTGCAACAAGGATATACAGTTGATTCCACTTTAGTAAGTACTTAACTGCTTAATCGGCGGACATATCTTTTTTAATTAAAAAAAACAACGCCACTGTCCTTTTACACTTTGCGTACTTCCAATAAAACAAACACTTAAATGGAATACTTCAGAATAAGTCTCTACAAATGCCTTCACGGGTTTGGAAGCTGAAATTAATTGAAGGTAGTGACGAATTGAAGTGATCATTTCAATGACGTTTCCAGATGGAAAATAGTTATTTGCTCCCCACCTTGCCTCTCAGCAGTTTCATCTATGCACCGAGTTAAAATCAGCAATTTGGGTTGGGGGGGGGGGGGGGGGAAATGGAAAAACTATTCAGAGCTGAGAGGCAGAGAGAGAGAGAGAGAGAGAATGAGAGAAAAAAAGAATGAAGATTGCCACTTTGATCAGAGGTCAGCTGCTGGTTGGTTGACAGGATTATTAAAAAATATATACATATAAAACATTAACATTTAGGAGAGAAAAGGTCATTGTAGAGATTTACCCAGGAATACTCTGTTAATGTCAGTTCCTAATAACTGAATTGTTTCGATCAGATTACAAATTTCACCCCCCACTTCCATTCCAAACTGCACTCTACATTATACCCTAAATAGCTCTTTGACCTTCCACCATAGCGCAAAGTTAAGATCAAGGTAGCAGTGTAAAATAGTTTGCCAAATTTATAATTCTTTTAGCTGCATTACAAAGTGCGCATACTGTAGTCGAATGTGAATTTGTGTTCAGTGAATTTTCCTAGATAAATAAAAATGCTTTAATACAAGTTTTTCACCTAATGGGAATCAACTGTATAACTAACCTATGTAGAGAGACTGGAGAATTTGCTTCATTTTTACACCAACAGAACAAAATGCAGAAGCAAAAAAGCAATACAAGCTTTATAAAATAAAGATACCCATTTTTCAACATTTGTCTACAATATACAAAGTAGGAAATAGGGCTCAGAATTTCATCGTCTGTAAATAGCACCAGACTACTATCATTTATTTATTAATTATTTAAACAAGCTATCCAAGAAACAAATTTAAAATTGATTAAGAACATAATTTGGACAACAATCCTACTGGCCATACTTCACTCCTCAGTACTTTGATTTTACAACTTTACAAATTGTTTTGAGGCTTCCCTCCAAATGGTACACACACACACACAACTACCTTCGGGTTGGCAGATGGATACCATTTACTGGTGACAAGAAGGGCAGTAAAAGCTCAAGTTGTGCAAAAAGTGAGAAGTGGTCAGACGGGATGTGTGGGTGTGGGCAGCCACTAATATTGTTTTCAATCAGCCAGTTAGGATCCAAAGGTCCAAGAACACCCAGTATGTTAATGTGAGGCTTGGAATAGAAGACGTAGTCAATGATACCCTGTAACCCAGAAACAAACACACATCGTTAGTCTCGGTCAGTCAATGGGATCATTACATTTCGATAAAGTAAGATCATCAAGTACAAGAGTCTAATGCCCCACACATATACACCCTTCGAATTTAATACTGTAGTTCTTGATGTTACAACACGCTGTCTGGAACATCAATGTGAAGACTAATACGTTCAAACCCATTTCCCACACAGACTCTGCAAATGTTTGCAAATCCTGAGACCGAGGGTGTTTCACAAATCAGTGACACCACTTTACACTATATACAATTATATACACACAGTATATCCCGTTGGGAAGCGCTTTGGATCATCCTCCTGACGTGAAAGGTGCTATAATCAAATATCATATTTATGCAGATCAGGTGGCAGAATTTTGTAGTGAGCTGCGTGTGGAATTGCTTAAAGGCAATCAAATGTTAATTCTGTCTGCTTTTGGAGCGCTCTTGTTTTTCTTCCTTAAGGAAGAGCTTAATTCAAATGACTAAGGAACACATCAAGTTTGGAACAACACAGACATAACTTCTAGAGTCACCGCCTTGTAATTTAATAATTCAGCTCTGGACTCAATATGGAAACAGTTATGCAAATCAGAAAACTGCGGTGTTGGAAAACAAAGCCATAGCAATTGTAAATATCAGTTGCTGGATAGGAACAACAGCAAGATGTACACAGAACAGGTGCCAGCACAGAACAAAACCAATCAACAGAAGGTCTTCCAAATGAATGACACCAGGTGGTGCAGAGCTTCATCCAAAACCATACTGAAACAGTAACTCCACCACCTGACTGCAGCCACCCTCCACCCCCTCCTTATCCCAACACACAGCTCGGGTCCAAATCCCTAACTGTCCAGCACCTTGAGACGTCCTCCCGACGTGAAAGATGCTGTTTAAAGTAATTTGTTGTAGTTCCTCCTTTCCACCCTTCACCCAGATGAAACTAAAAGCAATATTACTCAAGTTATTTGTATAATGAAATCCTTAACTTAATGCCCAAAAGCCAATCACATTTACTGCCTCAAAGGACTAAAAGTATTCCAAGTTTGGGATGAAATACAACTACAGAAAGAGGAAAGCTCTGTGAAGCAATCAAATTATTAAAAGAACAATATGTATGATTTTCTCAATTTAAGATTATTATTGAAAAGCAGCTAAAGGAAGTGGAAGAATAATATTTAGATTTTCACAGAATGATATTCAGGTCCACATGGATGTCTCTGATTTGTGAATTAATAACTCAGCGATTTTGAAATACCAACCTCAACGACTTCCTGGATGGATTCAAGGCATCACAAAGGCTGCATATTCCATCATTATATTTTTTAAAAAATCAATAATAACCCTTGCATTGTTTGATACAGCGCCTTATCACATCTTTGAGACGTTTCAAAGCCCTTCACAGAATATACTGTAAAGTGAATTGACTGCATATTTTGTGGGTGAAACGCACAGCAGTGTCCCACAAACAGTCATGGATTGAGTGACCAAATTATTATGTTTTTTGAAGGAATTATTACCCCGGGAAAAGTGATCCACCAATCGACTAACAACCGGGTTCCTACTTACTGCCAGGTAAATAGGCATGCGTGTGGAGTAAGGAAACTTGCCCAACGTTTCGTCCCGCCCGGGAATCGAACCCGGGTCCTCTCGCTTGCGAGGCGAGTGCTCTAACCACTGAGCTGCAGGACTCCAGATGTACTTACTTTGAAGTCAAAGGTATAGTTTGTATAAGGCATCAGGCCATTCTCGTAGGCACTCTTCAGCTTGAAGCCATGAGTGATTCTTGCACTGGGTGTTCCGTTTTTCCCAATGCTACTGAATTTCATGAGACAGTCACTGTATCTTAGTTCTTTGAAATCCTTGTGGTTTGTGTCAACTCCTCCAGTGCTCAAGTATTCAACCACACCTGTAATCAATCAGAATAATTGATTAGAATCATTAATCCGGTCAAACGCAGTGCATCAGAATGGCAATAGTTTCACTTCTCTTCCTTGTTTAACAAGAACTCAAGAGCTCGAAAAGTGTTTCCCTCAAGAGATTGTCTTTAATAAAAAAGGAAGTTGAAGATTCACTAATCATTCCCTATACGTCATCCCTCAACAATGCAGGGAGGAGGGAAATCAACCTGGTTGCTCTCCTCAGCTTTCTTTATTGTCCGTGGTGGGAGATAGACACAGGACTCAAGCTACAGACTAACTAGAGCCCAGTAATCTTCAACAGCAGTTCTGTGACTCTTTCCTCAGTTTTCAAGACTCTAATGCTGGGAGAGTTTGAAGTTAAGCAGTTGTAACTCAGAAATGAAGAGAGATGGAGAAACCTACAGGATCAAGATGCCTTCCACCCAACTTGTGTAACACTCGAGTCCAAATACTGTGTAGCTATCCAAAGCACCAGCACCAGAATACAGATTTATCAAAGGCCTAGCACCACCCAGTGAACTAAAGCCAATACTACAATAATTCAATGCATTTCAATACAGAAGCTTAACAACCAATGAGAAATATTATATACAACAACTTGCATTTCTATAGTAACTTTACTCAGGGCAGAGGACCGTATTGTATTGTACTGTATATTGGGTATTGTACGGTGTATTGTATGGTGCATTGGGTTTTGTACAGTGTATTGGGTTTTGTACGGTGTATTGGGTATTGTACGGTGTATTGTACGGTGTATTGGGTATTGTACTGTACTTGAAACAATGGCGTCAGGGAAAAAAATACAGTAGATTTTGTCCAACAAATCCGTCTCAAAATGAGAGCGAGAGCTGTTGAAATATAAATGTAAAAAAACACATTCAAAACATGACTAATGGCGAGATGAGATGTTGATCCCGACGTGAAAGGCGCTATACAAATGGAACCTTGTTGTTGTTGTTGTCGATCGTTACCTGAATCCGGCAGCGAATTGAGATCTGCGCACAGTACAAGTGGAATGGCATTGAGGTCAGCCGAGGAGGCACCGGGTCTGAGTGTACGAGAGGCCTTCTCGATGATGTTCTTCACTTCAGACAGGAACATCATGGTCTGGATCAGCTTGACATCAGAGTACTCGGGATCCCAATGCATGTGTGCATTCGCGACCAGAATGAGCTGCTTTTCCATTTCGTGATACGTTTTCGCAGCTGCAAATGAGGAAAATAAAGACTTGTTTTCTTTTCTCCCCTTAGAATTCTCCCTCGGAATGCGTTATGCACCCACACAGAAATTCGCCCCAAATCAGGCCTTTTTTTTCCCCCCAGTTCCAGGGCAGAAGGAACTTATAATCAAACGAAAATAATAATAAAAGTGACGTCAAATACGTACGAGATATTTCAAAAGAATCCTTCTGCAACTCTAACAGCACAGCAACACCAATGTTGTCCTTTGTCATAACTCTATTCAGCATAGCTTCTGAGCCGTCCGAGTTTGCCATAGCCAACTGGTTGAACTCAACAGTATGGTTCTGAATCAGAGTAAATCTGCAGCAACAGACAAAACATTCACTGCAATTGGGGGCTGAAATGACATTATATTATATTGGCAGCTATTATTTTTTTTACAAAAATACCTAAATAAACAACAACTTGCAGTTATATGGAGCCGCTCATGCAGGGTAGCGTGACAGAGCACTTAAAACATAGAAATCTAAGATAAACAGATTTGCCAAACAGTGAAAGTCTAAAGCCAACATAGAGTTACATCTTGGAATCACAGGAGAATTCCTCTCTTGATACACTTGCCCTTCAACCAAATTCAGTCTCTCTGGAGCGCTAACAAAGGATCCTTTGAACTATAATATAATAATCCTTGCATTCGATACAGTGCCTTATCACGTCGTTGAGGTCTCAAAACACTTCACGGGATATACTGTACGTAGAGTGGATTGACTGTCTATCTTGTGGATGAAACGCGACAGCCAGTTACACAATCCCACAAACAGCCATGGAGCGAGCAACCAATTTTATTTGGGGAGGAGTATTGGCCAGGACACCGGGAGAAATTCCCTTCTCTTTTCGAATAGTCCCGTGGGATCTTTAACATCCACCTGAATAGGCAGATGGGACCTCAGTTTCACTTCTCATCTGAAGGATGGCACCTCCAACACGGTCCCCCGGTACTGCACTGGAGTGTCAGCTTCGACTATGGTAATCAAGCCCGGGTCCTCTCACTTGCGAGGTGAGCTTGTTAACACCTACGCCTCAAGACTCCTGTAACTAACCAGTAAACATTCAGTGAGAGACTGTGGATTTACGACGAGTCAATATAACTTGCTCTCCCTGCCACACTGGTCATTGAACTAACTACTGTCATTTCCTGGAGTCTGCAATCTTGTAGATCTAATAATGGTGCCAAGATTTCTGATAAGATTAAACAGAGGTGGACAATAATATTGACAAAAAGCTATACACCAGTACTTTGCTAGTACTGTCAGAAGGGCTGAATGTCAGGCTCAGTGCTAGCTGGAAAAGGCCCTTCTTGCTAGTCATTCTGGTAGATTTTTTCCTATTGTGACGTGCCACTGTGTCTCCAAAAGTCAGTCACTTTCCAATTGACTCAACTCATCGCTCCTTAATGATGTTTTATAGGCAAGTGCTTTAAGTATCAAGTGCCTCTCTCTCAATAGCGACAGACGCTTTAAACAATTTAACAAAACGAACATTTATAATCATTCCGTTATACAAACAGAAAATTATTCCCTTGCATGTCCATTAAAACGAACACCTACTTTTCTGTCTTGTAGAATATTGCACAGCCATCCACATGCTTCCGATCGGATTCAGACATTGTCCGAGCTCTGGATTTAGGACTGAAGAAGCCGTCATATCCATGTTCTTTAAGTTCAACCAGGAAGAAGGTGAAGTACTGTTCAGTTTCAACTTCCTACAAAAGCAACAGAAAAAAAATCCATAAATAAAAGGAGTAACAATAAATGGAGGTGTAATAATCCTTGCCCTTGATATATATAGCGCCATTCATGGTGGGAGGATGGCTCAAAGTGTTTCACAATAAAATGTACTAATAATAATAAGACACGGGTATAAGATAGCAACTAGGGGGATCCAAAAGTGAATATAGGAGGAACTGTTTCATGCAGAGGGTAGCGAGAATGTGGAACTCGCTGCCCGAAGTGGTGGTTGAATCAAGGTAGCGTAGATGCACTTAAGAGGAAGCTGGATATTCACATGAGCGAAGGGACTAGAAGGGCATGGGAAGGAGGAATAAAGAGTTGGATAATCATGTGGAGCATAAACACCAGCACACACTAGTTGGGCTGTTTGGCCTGTTTCTGTGCTGTACAATCTATGGAAATATATTTTAAATGTAAAACCAGATAGAAATAAGATACTGGAGTTAAAGTGGATCCATAGATCAGTGACTATATTCAGACTACACCACAGTAGTTTCTCTATTGGATCTACTTCTTGTGGTTAACCGCCAATACATTTTCAAAAGTTTTAATAATCAGTGTTTCCTTACACCAGAATGCCAAATGATCTTTAAACAAGGCGACAGAGAGGAGGTGAAGAAACATTGGTTACCATTTTTACAAAGATTCTTTATAAACAAAAGGCTGAGGAATGTCAACAGGTACATCATAAAATGTTATACAATATGAAAATACAGCTAGAACCTTCAGCAACACAAGAGTTCATCAAAAGTGTGTCTTACCTGAAGACTTATGATATCTGCATTGCAGTTCAAGATTTCTTGCATAATAGATTTTTTCCTATATTCCCAGCTCAAAGCCCATGACGGACAGTAGCCATACAGCTGTCTTGTGGCATACTTGTCACATAGTACATTGTAGCACATGACTGAGAACAATGCTGCAAAAAATCGTAAATAAAAATTTATATGGCTATATTGATATACGTTTGACATAATATGGAACCGAATGGCCTTTCTGTGCCGTAACATTCTATGAATCTATGAAACAGCAATATCAATGGCAAACTATTGTGGTTTTAGCTGATTAGACTCCAGCAGTTACCCCAACCCACACTCTGGGCTTCCACAAGCCTTGGCTCTTGCCAACCTATGTCTAAGACCTTCTGGAATTAGGTAAGCAGGATGCATCCCTCCAGGGAGAGAGAGAGAGAGAACAAATTCCATTCCAACAATCTATCTCTGCGATTTCCATGTGTAGGTGGGATGGGTGGAATTGTCAGCTTGGTTTGGATACTCTTAAGCACGGTGATGAGTTTCCAGCTGACCAAAGAAAAGAATGAACTGAAACCTACTCGGGTATAAGGCTTACACATTATCCTAAAAAAAGTCACTCACTTCACTTTACACTAAATCCTGTGAAGGCCTTTTAGACGTCATCCTAAAGTGAACGGTGCTAAGCAAGACGCAAGAATTATTACTACTTGAGAGAGTAGTACTGGAAGGATCTGGACACCAACAGAACCTTTGTGGAGTCCTGTAGCTCAGTGTTAGAGCACTCGCTTTGCAAGCGAGAGACCTGAGTTCAATTCCAGGCAGAGGGCGAAACCTTGGGCAAGTTTCCTTACTCCACACAGAGCCTAATGATAATCCCTCCAAAACCAAAAACAATAAGTTGGTCATTTTCAATCTACGACTGTTTGTGGGACATTGCTGTGCGCAATTGGCTGCTGCGTTTGCCCACAAATATAGTCAATTCACTTTACAGTGTGTTCTGTGAAGCGCTTTGGGACGTCCTCCCAACGTGAAAAGCGCTATATCAATTGCAAGGATTATTATTATTATTATTATTACTCCCAACAAAATTCAGAGTATTCAAGGGAGAGAGGTTGGAGGGAAAAAGAGGAATAAAAGAAAATTGGTATAAAAGGTATTAAAATATTTATATTGTTTGTTATCTTTGTAGAGCTCATCAGTAAATTATAATGGTGCGACTGAAACTACGAGCGCAAAGCCTTGATTCTTGATGGTACCCATGTTTGATTACTTTTCGTTCACAGTTAAATAAGTTTTGATTTAGTTTACAAAGAAGCAAATTAGAATATCAAAATGTTTTGGGGGTGCAGGAACTATCTCCACCTCACCCCCAAATAAAATGCTCAATTGAAGAAAAATACTGTTAACACATACAGGTTTAATTTAGTGCTTGTGAGATGGGGCATATTGAAGAGAGCACATTGTGACCTTGTAAATCTCACCCTTGTTGAGAACAATATTACAATGAAAAACAATCCACAGCCTCCGTTTATTGTGCACAGTAACTTGTGCTTATCGAAGGATGAAGACACCAGTGCAACATTGTCAGTTGATTTAAGGCATTGACACAAACTTCAATTACTATAAGAGTAACCTGTCAGCAGGTTGCATTGTCTCTGTGGATCCCCCCCACCCTTCCCCTCTCCCCCCAAAAAAAATCACTCTGAAATGACATGACCATCTCCAACAAAAAAATGGTCCTATTGAATATCTCAGGCCACCATTGGACCAGTTGAGCGTAGAACTGGGAATCAACTAGCACTCCCTGCACTGAGGCCACAGTGTGGTCAATACTGCCCTCAGCAGCAGGCCTCCGCCTTCGCACACACACAAGACACACTGCTCCAAGCTCCAATCCACTGATTCGAGGCAAAAAGGATATTATAAACACACCATAATTCCAAACGCATTTTAAGTGGAATATCTTCAGGCACTTTAGCCATTGAAATAGTATGTGTAAAAGAAATAAATTAATAATAATAATCCTTGCATTTGATGTAGTACCTTATCATGTCGTCGAGATATCTCAAACGGAATGAAAAGAACTGGACATTGGCAAAAGAAAACTACATTTTGAATAACAATGATTGTACCTGAGGGATGTGTCCTCTCTGGTTCTTGTAAGACAATCCACGACCTTGGAGGTGGTTGTTCTGGCTGAACTGTTGACAAAAAAATCAAAATGACACACAGATTTCCATAGTTTTATGAACAAGTTATTAAACTTTCGATTTGTTAACTTACTTCTTTTAGCAGTACCTGCCAAATTATCAAGCAAGTAATTCAGTAGCCTTCGAGTTCCATCTGGTTCCTGATAAAGGTTAAGGATTTCTTGTGCCAGAGGATTTCCTGCAATATCACACAAGTTTATTAATCATACTATCCACAGGTTGTTAAACCATTCCTAATTCTTTATATGACAACTTTGGGAGCATATGAGACAAATAAGAAATATTACTCTGCATGGTTTCACCTCTCAAGCGTGGCACTAATAAATGTAAATTATCAATTACAATTTACATAATAATACTTGCATTTGTTATAGCGCCTTATCACAATGACAAGTCTCAAAGTGCTTCGCAGGAATTACTGTCAATTATATCGAATGTATTTGTAGGCGAACGCGGCAGCCAATTTGCAGACAGCAATGTCCCCCAAACAGCTATGAAGTGAATGTCAGTTTTATCTGAGGGATGGTTAGCCAGAACACTGCAAGGGAGAAACTCCCTTCTAGCCAAAAAAAAAACACATTACCCATCTTAGATTAAGTTTTAGTTCTTAGTGAATTTCACTTTCAAAGCAAAACATTTGCTGGGGAGAAAGAACACTTACAGCTGGTGTCAGCGTCAAGCATTCCCAATTCAAGCCTCCTAACCTTTACATTTAGAGGAAACCTTCCATTACTCAACACTAAGCTTAAAGGAGCAGCCAATTTAAAGCGGTTTTACACAGTGAACCTAGATTTACCAGAAATTAGGTTTGATCCCACCCAAACTTACAGAGAATATTTCCAGCTTCCATACATAAGTGAATTTGTTCTCACGTGTTAATACAGAAAAATGCTCATACAAATCGCACAGAATTAGTTAGCCAGTCATTTTGACCACAACATAAATTCCACCTTATGTCGCTTACCTTTCAAACCCAGGGTCTGTAGCTGAAACAACTTTCCAAGCTCAAATGGTAGAACCCGTAGAAGATTATTGTTTAAAAGCAGTTCCCTGAAAAATTAAAACAAATGTTAACCTTTTCAAGGATCAAGTTTATTTGAATAAAGCAACATTGCTATCGTCAGAACGTAATCAAGCAGCGATTTGCTTTGGCTGCTCAATCAATTGCCCAAATTTTTTTCCAAAAAACTTGTGGACTCTCTTCTCCAGGAAGATTCCCAACATTCCAGCTCGCGGAGGTGCACATCATCATATTATTCAGTCAACAACAATGGAGACATTGATCCTCAGTAAAGATCTTCGACAATTTTAGTCAAGAACACAAATTAACCTCCATTTATAAATTAATTATGGCATTGAAATTAAAAAGTTTAATTCAAAAAACCTTCAGAATTTGGGGTTTGAAAACAGAAAAAGCAGACCATGTGTGCCATATAAAACACTTGTGCACAAGACAACATCAACCACAAAAAACTGTCCAATATTATATGAGCCACTAAGGAGTTACCCTGCCTCATCTTGCCGCTGATTCAGAAGGTTGTGGGTTCAAGCCCCACATCGGGACTTGGAACTCGTATTGTCTAATCTGAACCTCTAATGCAGTGCTGGGGGCGTGCCTCATTGTCGGAGATGAGACGTTAAACCGAGGCTATGTCTAGCCTGATCAGGTGGACTTTATAGATCCTGTAGCGATATTCGAAAAGAGAAGTTTCTCCTGGTGTCCTGGCTAACAATCCAACAAAATAATTATTAACTCCATAGCTGTTTGTAGGACATTGCTGTGCGCAACCTGGCCCAGAAAATACACAGCCTTTACACTATATGCTGTGAAGTGCTTTGGGACGTCATGACATGAAAGGTGCTGTACTAAATGGAAGGATTATTATTATTATAAGCCACAAAAATCAGGTGCTCTTCTCCAGTTGAAATATCCAGATGATTTACCTGAGTGATACCATGTTTCCAAGTTCTGATGGTAAACTCCGGATCTTGTTGCACGATAGGTCCAGGTAAACCAGATTGTGCAGTTTGGCAATGTCAGGAGGAATGCGTGAAAGGGAGTTGTCACCAAGATGCAATGCAGTCAAGTGCGTTAGCGACCACAAAGATGAACTCAGACTTCGAACTCTCCCTGCGTAGTAAGACAATATTAAATTGTAAGAGGATTTAAAAATATGCAAATAGAAGTGAAATACTTAGCAAGTTGCAAAAACAAAGCAATAATTTTAAGTCATTGTATTTGACGCACATAGGGTACTTACCGCTGATTTCTAACTCTGCCCAGTGTGATTTTTTCCCATTTGCTGCTTCTTCAGAAGACATGATTGTGTACATTCTCCGTGGATCAGGTGGATCATACTTTTCCCTGGGCATTCCGGTTACACTGGAAAGATAACGCAAGTTACGTCGACAGAAGCAATCAAGTTAGTAACCACTTGCACTTATATAGTACCTTTCACTAAGGATAACTTCTCGAGAGTGCTTCACAAAGGCACCGAGCAAAGGAGAAGGAGGTGACAATAGGCATTTGGCCTAATATGCAGCAAATTTCTGATAGATTCCATCATAGAAAAACAGAAGGACATTGTGCAAAGTGCTCTGGTGTGATCTACATTTGTAGAGAAGTTACTACAAATCAGCAATGTCATGCTTGAGGTAAACCAAGCAGTCCCTCCTCACTGAGGTTCTCATTAAGGAATCCGGTTAGAAATTGCCACACTTTACACTCCGCTATCAATTTAGATTGTATTAAATCACAAAATACTGTAGTTTTACTTTTTAAACTTAGTAAGCCATTGAATTTTACATCATACTTTTGCTATTCATCTGAGGATATGAAAGTTTATGTATTATATCTAAAACCACCCACGCACTTTTATAATCAGAGAAATGTTGGAAATCGGCAAGGTGTGAGAAAGATAAAGGCAGGTTAACTTTCTTTGTCTATCAAATACTCATTCTTCAGCTGTGCATTTTAACGTTTCTCTTTCGATTTCAGGTTTCTAGCAACTGCAGCTTTCTTTCCTTCACATCCAAACTTGGATTATTTGGATTATTATTATTATTAACTTGGTTTATATAAGATTTATACAAGGCTTGATAATGAATGAAGATACAACTTATTTTATAATCACCAATTATACTATTCGATCACATCTAATTGTATATAAATATAACACAAAAGTCTGGTACTAAAGTTAGAAGACTAACTGTTCCAATTTTACCACTTCTGGGGGTGAGGATGAAAAGATAGACACAAAAACACAACAGAAAACAGGAAATCTGCACAGGAGCAGGCAATATTAAATATACAGAACAATCTCTGAAGGCTGAAGGTTAGGTCAGCATACAATTAAAGAATGCTCGTGCTATGAGACATGGAATTTTTTTATTAAAAATGAGAAAACATTTCACGAATAGCCAACTTGTCCTGACGGTAGAACACTACACACCCTGCTTATCTACCAAGTCCAGGAACTGTTTTTAAGAACTTATCACGATTATCTTTAATGAAAATGAACACCAAAATTCTAACATGTTTTGCACGATTTTTCCATTGAACACACGCAACATGCCTGAGGTAACAAAACCAAACTCTGAAATGTATTCTGCGCAACAATTTGCTTTAAAATTTTCATCTGATTGAACTGGCCTTCACTCACCACATCACCGTATTCTTACAGAAGACAATGCACATTTAATCAGGACGTTGTACGACTTTCATGACTGTTTAACACTTGTACACACTGTAACCAACCAATCAGTCGTCCGCAGCCTTAATATCAGTGTGCGAAGGATTGCATTCACAAACTATTGCTACTCAATAGCTTACACACATCATCTTCAACAGTAAAACCACCATACACAGCTTCGGGGGAGAAAGTGAGTAAGATGTCCAAATATAGGACAACTTAAATAAAATTTAGCAGGAATGAAACCATAAAATAAACATAATAATCTCCCATTTAGCACAAGATGAAAATGTCTCAAAGCGCTTCACAGAGAATCTCCTGAATGAGCGTGACAGCCAACGAACTGTCACAAACAGCCATGAAGTGAATGACCAATTCTATCTCCGGGTTGTTGATTAGGACACTGGAACAAACTCCATTCGCTTGCCAATAATATCATGAGATTTAACATCTACCAGAATCTCGGTTTAACTTCGCACCAGAAGGAGTGCACCTCTGACAATTAAAAGGTAGAGAAACATGGCATGGATATAAAAACGTGACCTAGACGAGAATTTGGGGAAAGGGAAAATCTTGATGCCTTTCTTCCAAAGCAAAACATTTTGATGTGTCCAAGTGATCAATTTCATCAATGAACCTGGCAAGATTGAGTTAGACAATCCCATTTATACATATTTGGTAATATTATGAGATGAACCCATAATTAATTATTGAGCGTTTTAAGGGAGCAACATTGAGTTTAGCTCTATTTTCGGTGATTAAGTTCCAGAATAGTCAAGTGTCGGTACATGACAGACGTGGTGGAAGACACACACATCGCAAATACATGTTCATCCAAATCATTTTAGTTTTAAGCACTGTTGAATAGACTACAAAAATGCTGCATGAGAAATAATGAATCTATTTTTGGGTTCAATAGTAAGTTATTTAATGCTTCAACTTTGGATATATTTTTTGTTTTAATACCGGTCAACTTTCTGCGAAGTAAGCATCTGTCTTGCACCTTGGAAACCAAAACTTCCAATACAAATATGAAGAGTTATGATAAATGACTGATGTAATCTCTAGCTAGGACAGGCTGCTGCATGTGGCAATGCACATATAAGTAATGGGAGTTAACACTCCCAACCATGCTTTTAGGCCTGTTGCAGACATAATACCAGCCTATTAAATTGCTCTATTAAAGTGAGGGGTTCAAACCATACATACACCCCAGTTTCATTATAAACTATGCTGCCATTTAACTTTTTAAAATGTCTTAAGAGAACAAAAACCTAGCGGCAAATAATTGCAAGGTTAGCCTTCCAAATCAGTCAACGTGACCAAATTTTTGTTCCAAGCTTCATTTGGAAGCCCTGTGCAGATACAATGGTGATTTCCTTTCATTGGCTACCAGTGAACACAGGAACTAGTACACACAGCGAGAACACATTCCAACTGCAAATCTTACCGTTGTGCTTAACTTTTTTTAAAAAATGTTTTACCTCTGATGAATACTGACAAGAATATGAAGGAACACTAAGCCTTGCATCAGCAACACACTCCAGACCTCAATTTTTTCGCCTACAAAATATACAGTCAATTCACTTTACAATGTATTCTGTGAAGCGCTTTGAAACGTCTCAAAGACACATAAGAAGCTATATCAAAGGCAAGGATTGTTATGACAATTTTAGCAGCTTAGAGTTACTAAAAAATCAAATATTCTACATTTATGTTAATTTTTTGAGCTATAACAAATGGTGGGTCACATTTTAACTATCCAAATACTGAACGACTGACTGAGTGGGTCTTCAAAACGGTTTCAAAACTAATCTACTCAATTAGTTTTGGCCAATTCCATTTTTAAGCAGAACACTGCACAAATTTAGTGATATATTCCCCAACACAACACACTAACTACCCAGCTTTTTAAGACCTTCTATCAGGAGAAGTGCCTAACAGCTTGAGCTGCAGATTTTCTCATGTGTAGCATTGGTGTCACTCTGAGCAAAAATTATTTGTGCAGTATAGAAGGGGTGGGATCAGACACATATTGCTTTCCCTTACAAACTGATCATAACTGACGCAAACTGCCAATTTCCCCACCTCTCCACGAACTAAAAGTAATTTGAAATAACTGGTTGAATGCCCAAAGTTGTTCTGGTGAAGTGAACAATTAGCATCTCCTTGCATTAGCCAGTTAGTCTCCTTGGTCGGGATGATGTAGCTCCCTTGATGTTGTTGTTGATTTTTTTTTGTCAGCCAGGTGGGTGTCTGACACGTGCAGAAACCCATCACCATGTTTAAGCATATCCAAACCAAGCTGAAACTTCCATGTATTCCACCTACACACAGAAATCTCAGATAGATTGTTGGAATGGGATGCGCGCTCTGCTCTCTCCCTCGAGGGACGCATCCTGTTTACGTAACTGCGGAAAGTATTAAGCGCAGGTTGGCAAGAGCCAAGGCTTGGGGGGAGCCCAGAGTGTGCGTTGGGGTAACTGCTGGAGTCTAACCATGTAGCCTGCTATTGCTTTTGCTGTCTGGCAAGCTTTCCGACTGCTTGTCCAGCAAGGACCACCCTATGCGTTAGAGCTTAGGCTTGCAGGATTAACAGGAGCTGAGTGGGATGACTCCCTGCCCACAGTTACTGGTCCTGCCCTGCCTGGTCCTGCCAATGAGCCAGGCTGGGCTGTGCTGTCATCAGCAGTGAGTGCCCTGGAATACTGCAGCCCCACCTGGCTCAGGAACCGGACTGGAGCTCACCGCAGACCAATTGATGCTAATTGGAATAAAGTAGTAAAAGGAATTGCACTATTACTACTGCAGTAAATTTGACCGTTGTATATTGGGGTTAGGCTATAGAACTTCAACAACAACCACAACAAAAATACAACTTCTTCAGTCTAGTAGAAGTTCTTCATTGGTAGATATACCTGTGTGGTATATGAAATATGAATATGAAATAGCCACACCATTAAAGGTTATAGTAGAATTTTGACAATATTATCCTAACTGCCAGTATATTTTTATGGCTGACAGACATTACACTAATTTTATATCTGGTTCCCCAAGATAACATAAAACATTGGGAGTCTAGCTGATGGGCACTGATTATTTAATAGTGTTGAATACTCTTGCAGAGCTGGTTTTTCTGGCTGATAAATGTTTGAAAATACAAAGCCACCTACTACTATTTTTAGGGCTTAATATATTTCCTAGAAAGTATCAGGAAATGATATTAAAAAGTCTACTTAAAATTATTCATCAGTAGAATATAGTTAATTGACACTCAGCCCAAAGGTTGCAGGTTTCTGCTCTATTGAAAGCCAATACTGTATTTATGTCATGTAAATAATCACAAAGGATCACAATATTCAGTTAAATGTTCAAAGATAACCAAATGTTTTTGTTTAAAGCAAACACAATACATTACTAATCCTATAATGGATATATCCAACAACTGGGCATATGAAGCACTATCACCAGTCTAAACCACCGTATTTAAGCGTTCCGAGACGCCGTCGGGAGTGAAGGGCACTATATAAATGCAAGTTGTTGTTGTTATTTCTATAAACCAGGTGTTTATGGAAAAAGGGTTCTGTTAGAAAGGTGACTTAACAAATACGCTCGATAAATAAAGATGATAAATATCTAGCCCGGTTCAATTTTGTGAGCCAACTGCAGATCTTCAGTGGCCACACTGGCCCCATGGTAAATTACTTCACACTGTGCTGCTCCGATCAACACTGCGCTGGTCCGATCAACACCGCAAAGGAAGGTACTGTGACCAATCCCAACACATGAATAAAGGTGGGGTTGGGGGGGGCGTTTGGGGGGGGGGGGGTGGGGGGGGAGAGTACAATTCTTGGAATCTACACCTGCAACATAGAAATCCTGGTCTTCAACCAATAAATCAAGATGTCAGCCATATGTGGTCAATTTTCTCTTAGTCCATAACAAGCACACAAGTCTTAAAGAAAGATAAGATATGCCAAGTTTGCATCTTATTCAAGCACTCAATCTGAATCCAGGAAGCACTATATGGGCTTTCTATGAACTTTATGGGAAAGGTTCAGTTTACACACAAACAAAATCCTGACAACACTGTTTTTAATCGCTACGATCCATTATTTTGCTTGTGAATTATCCAAATATAAACTATTTGCATTTTGTTCCATCAGTAGTAATGGTAAAATAGTGCTCAGATTGTGTTGCTTGCATCTACATTTGTGTATTAGTTTATTAATGCCTAGACCTAAAAGGGGTTTGTGAAGCCATGATTTTAATGGGGCTCTCAGCCCAAACGGATCCTGGGAGACACCACTGTTTGGACTAACAAGGCCAATCCCTGCACAGCCCACATATCGTCGTCTAGTTCCCCTTCCCCCAACTTCAAGGTTCCTGAATTTCTATTTTTACCTCCATGGCAGTCAAGCAGAACAGTTACTATCCTGCAACTTTCCAATCAGCTATCAACATTACTAATCCAGACAAAACCCTTCAAAAGGTATCCACAACTAAGTTCTCAGTCAGCAAATCTTCTTCCACATATTTTCCACCCTAAGAGAGAGGAAGACATTTTCTAACCTCCAGTCTTGCTTATGAATTTTCTATTGATGCCCTCCAGTCCTACATTCGTTGATTAAGTTAAATAATTCATTTACACCAAACTTAGTTATAGCTTTCATTATTTTAAACAGCTTCACCATACACTGCATAACCAGCAAAAAGAAGCCTACAATGTACCCAAGCTGTAAATCTCTTTACAACTGAGGTAAATTGTAAAGTTTTAAATGTCTTTACAATTTATTCCTCTAAAGCCTAAATTTGCTAGTGGCAAAAATGGGCTCATTTCTGAGCCTTTTACAATGTTTCTATATCTGTTATGCTACTGTAATCAAACATATACACACAGCAATTCTAGAATTTACCATACCAGTGATCTGTATAGTGTACAACATTGAAGTAAACATGTTCCAACTTGTAGTACAATACTCTTCCTTCCTACCCTTAATTGAAAGAGGCCTTCTATATTAAGGGAAGCCTGGTCTTGCTTTTTGAACATGTTATGCTTGTCTACACTGTACTCAACTACTGTACTTGCTCCTCCTCCCCCCACCCCGCTCAACTGACCACCATGTTTGTATTTTCTGAGAAATGCTTCAAAACGTGGGAGATGAAAAGCACATCAGGCCTACATAAACAGTCCCAGTTCAGCACAGCTCAGGTGCCCATTTTGCCACTAGCCTTTTTGAAATTTTCACATGTGATTTCAGTGTGAACTTTCATCACCAATATATATATATATTATATGTATTACATATCTGAACACCCGTACAGTATTATTTGATAATCAACTGGAAAGTTAATAAGAATAGATCACATGTGCAAACTGACTTGCTCACCGGTTTTTAGGCTGAAATCATCGCTAACCAAAAAGGTACAGTTTAAGGATTAAGGATCGTCATAAACAGGGCCATGTATAGAATATTTTATTCCCATTCCAAGCAATAAAAGACTCAGCAGATCAACTTACAAACAAAAGGCCACCATGTGGCTTTGCTACTTCCTGTACATTACGGGCTCTATTGTTGGAAATGTATTGCTTTCACCTGTTATTTACACTCCGTGGGATGTCTCCATCGACAGCCCCAACCACACCAACGGCAAATGGTAAACACATAGCGGTGGTCAGACGTCTAACAATGCTGTTTTGTTTTCTCCAAACCCCCCACAATAAAAACACTCTGCATTATAACCAGTCTAGCAATGACAGACAGACAAACAGAAACAGACAGTAAATGTAGACAACACCTCTCTCTCTCTCTCTTCCTCTCTTTAAATGCTCATTTGGTTTGAAACTTTAAGTCTCTAATCATTTGGATCCTATCGTATCCCAGTCCACAACAGCCCTTTCTGATGGGCTACTAAGATATACCCCCCCACAACACCCCCCTTGGAAGTTAAGACACTTGCAAAAAAGCAACTGCATGGCAATTATTATTTTTTTGGAGGAGGAAAAAAAACATCCAATTGTTCTGAGCCCCCAGTTTGGGAGCAAGTGGTAACTTTGCTGCCCTCCCCCCACCAGCCTCTCTCCCCCCCCCCCTTTTTTTAAGCTGCTGCTGCACCTACAGTCACTTACTCACCAGCTGTGATGGCCAGATACTCAGGCAGAGCAATGGCAGGCTGGAGGGGAACCCCCACACCAGGCACTGCTAGTCTGCCCATCCTCAGCCTGGGCAGTGGGGAGAGGGACAGTGAAGGGGGAGGGAGGGAGGGAGGGAGAGAGGGAGGAAGGGGGGGGGAGGGAGGGAGGGAGGGAGGAGGGGGGGGGGGGGGAGCTAAGGCTACCGCTCAACCTAACTTGGTGGCCGGATGTCCCGCCCCCTCCCTCCGCACGCTCATTGGCTAAGCCGCGCCACGTCTTGCCTTTGATTGGCCCCACCCGGCTGTCGGTCAGGCCGCGCCAACGCACTTCCGGTGTCAAGTTAGTTCGGCCCGACGTTGGTGAAGCTCCCCCCCCCCCCCACCACCTAGTCAACCATGTGTAGGCCTCACACACACACTGACTGTACAACAAGCACTCCCCCCCCCCACACACACACACTGACTGTACAACAAGCACTCCCCCCCCCCACACACACACACTGACTGTACAAGCACTCTCCCCCCACACATACAGACTGTACAACAAGCACCCCCCCCACCACATACACAGACATGTACATCAATACAACATCCCCCACCCCCACCACACACAGGCTGTACATCAATACATTGACCACCCACCCACACACACACTGTACAACAAGCAACCCCCCCACACACACAACACTGACTGTACAACAACCACCCCCCCACACACACTACCATACATCAATACATCACCCCCCACACACACACACACAGACTGTACTATGCATCAATACATCAACCACTCCCCCCCACACACACACAGACTGTACTGTACATCAATGCATCAACCACTCCCACCACACATATACACACACAAAAGCATAACACACGTGTGTATATATATATACTCATACACATACATATATACACACAAATATATATATACATACTACATAAATACCCAACATACACACACATACACATAACAAAACCCCCGAATCAACAACTTTTATAGCTATAGCTCTTGTGTTCATATCTATGGATATAAATATTAATATAAATATATAAAATATTTCACCCACAAAACAGTCATTACACTTTACAGTATATTCTGTGAAACGCTAATGAGACACCTGGATAACGTGATCAGGTGCTATATCAAATGTAAGGATTATTGTTATTTTATTATATATCTATAGACAGCTGTATAGATAGGTAGATATTCAGGGAGATTGAGTGGATAACAAATAAAAACACTGCAAGTGTTTCCCTCTCCCGCCCACCCCACACACACAAACCAAACCTGTAACTGGGAAAGTTCACCTCTATCTTTATAGACAATTTTTTTCTATAGTCTACAAATAGAAAGATTTCTTTTTAAATTAAAGCTGCAATCTGGAGCTTTTCTTTTGTTTCGTTGTTGCTTGGGGGCTGTTTTGTTTAATAATAATATTTCAAAACAAGACGTCTCTTTCCTCTTTTTCTTTTCTCTCCTTTTCCTTTTTTTGTTTTGTAAAAGAAATCTAATATGTAAATAAACAAATCAAATGAGGAGAAGAAAAATAAAAATGATCAATAGGGAAACCTCTTTATATGTATATATATATATATAGAAAGAGAGAGCAGTCGCTTCGTAAGCGAGACGGCTGGGTTCGATTCCCGGGTAGGGGAAAACGTGAGGTACGTTTCTTTACTCCACACACACGAGCCTCTGTTTTCCAGCAGTAAGTAGGAACCCGGTCGTTAGTCGATTGGTGGATCGCTTTCCCGGGGCGTAGTAATCCCTTCCACAAAAAATATTGAATAATAATAATAAATTGGGTCACTTCAATCCACGACTGTTTGTGGGACGGACGGCTGCCTGTTGCGCAATTGGCTGCTGCGTTTCACCCGCAGAATGAGCACACAGTCACTACACTTTACAGTATACCCTGTGAAGCGCTTTGAGGCGTCTCGACGACGTGATTATCAAATGTAAGAATTATCGTTACTACTATGTTTATATTCAAAATCAAGTTAAAGGAAAATGGTTATAAGCGTGAATGAAGCGAGTAGAAGGAGGGAGGGAGGGAGGGAGTGTGGGGGGAAGGAGGGAGGGAGTGTGGGGGGGAAGGAGGGAGGGAGTGTGGGGGGGGGGGGGGGGGGGGGGGGGGGGAAGGAGGGAGGGAGTGTGGGGGGGAAGGAGGGAGGGAGTGTGGGGGGGGAAGGAGGGAGTGTGGGGGGAAGGAGGGGAGTGTGGGGGGGAGGAGGGAGGAGGGAGGGAGTGTGGGGGAGGGAGGAGGGGAAGGAGGGAGGGAGTGTGGGGGGGAAGGAGGGAGGGAGTGTGGGGGGGAAGGAGGGAGGGAGTGGGGGGGAGGGAGGGAGGGAGTGTGAGGGAGGGAGTGTGAGGGAGGGAGGAGGGGAAGGAGGGAGGGAGTGTGGGGGGAAGGAGGGAGGGAGTGTGGGGGGAAGGAGGGAAGGAGGGAGGGAGTGTGGGGGAGGGAGGAGGGGAAGGAGGGAGGGAGTGTGGGGGGGAGGGAGGGAGTGTGGGGGAGGGAGGAGGGAGGGAGGGAGTGTGGGGGAGGGAGGAGGGGGTGTGGGGGAGGGAGTGTGGGGGAGGGAGGAGGGGAAGGAGGGAGGGAGTGTGGGGGGGAAGGAGGGAAGGAGGGAGGGAGTGTGGGGGAGGGAGGAGGGGAGGGAGGGAGTGTGGGGGAGGGAGGAGGGGAAGGAGGAAGGGAGTGTGGGGGGGAAGGAGGGGAAGGAGGGAGGGAGTGTGAGGGAGGGAGGAGGGGATGTGGGGGAGGAGGGAGGGAGTGTGTGGGGAAGGAGGGGAGGGAGGGAGTGTGTGGGAGGAGGGGAAGGAGGTAGTGTGGAGGAGGGGAAGGAGGGAGAGAGTGTGGGGGAGGGAGGAGGGGGTGTGGGGGAGGAGGGAGGGAGTGTGGGGGGGGAAGGAGTACCTGCGAATACATAACAAAAGTTCTAGATCTTTCTCCCCGCGAGCAAACAGCCATCATGGCGGCCGCTTCCCATTATTTCCCGGAGATTTCCCGCCTCCTCCCCCGGCCCCGCCCCCTCGCCTCCCATTGGTCCCCGCTCTCGGGGGGCGGCCACTGCGCAGGCGCCGTGTAGGTGCCGTGCACTGAGCACAGCAGAGGGCTGATTGGCTGATTGATTGATTGATTGATTGATTGGTTCATTGATTGGTTCATTGATTGGTTCATTGATTGGTTCATTGATTGATTGATTGATTGATTGATTGGTTGATTGATTGATTGATTGATTGATTGATTGATTGATTGATTGATTGATTGATTGATTGATTGATTGATTGATTGATTGATTGATTGATTGATTGATTGATTGATTGATTGATTGATTGATTGATTGATTGATTGATTGATTGATTGATTGATTGGCTGGTTGAGTGGGTGGGTGGTTGGTTGACTGATTGGTTGGTTGGTTGGTTGGTTGGTTGGTTGGTTGGTCATCATCATTTTTAAATCTTCTTAGCACTCGTGGTCTTTAGACAGTCCACATCACATGGAGAGTTTCCTATATATGCAGATTGAGTAATATGTTTTTGCTCATCATTGCGGAAACACTACAACAACAACTAGCATTTATACCCCCCGCACCCCCCCCCCCCCCCCCCCCCGCCACCACCACCACCGAGAGCTTGGGACACTACCCTGTGTGAGGGGCACTGTATAAGTGCTGCATAAAAGTTTTTGTTGTGTTGTTCTTGTAGTGTTTCCACAATGATGAGCAAAAAAATATTATTTCAACAATGAGCGAGTAGTAATAATAATAATCCTTGCATTTGATATAGCGCTTTTCACGTCGGGAGGACGTCCCAAAGCGCTTCACAGAACACACTGTAAGGTGAATTGACTGTATATTTGTGGGCGAACGCGGCAGCCAATTGCGCACAGCAATGTCCCACAAACAGTCGTAGATTGAAAATGACCAATTTATTATTGTTTTTGGTTTTGGAGGGATTATTATTAGGCTCTGTGTGGAGTAAGGAAACTTGCCCAAGGTTTCGCCTGGAATTGAACTCAGGTCTCTCGCTTGCAAAGTGAGTGCTCTAACCACTGAGCTACAGAACTCCACGTAAATGTATGGAACAGGCTCCCTAGGGAGATGGTGGAATCAGAAATTTACTCTTTCAAAAGCAAATTTCTTTTAGTAAATAATACTGTGGTACATGACAGTATATAGTTTAGTACATGACATGTGCACGTGACTGCCAGGATGGTGGAAGGCGAATTGGATGGTCCTTGATCCTCTTTCGTCGAGCAATTCTTATGTTCTTATCTCTACACACGCAGGCTAAGATTTTCCAGATCAGACTCCTAGAGTTTTTAAACATGCAGTGTCTGACACATGCAGAAATCCATCACCGTGCTTAAGGATACACAAACAACAACAAACAAATTGCATTTATATAGCGCCTTTCACATGGTGAAGACATTGGGAGCTCTTGAGTGCAATAGCAAGTCACATGTAACACCAGAATTTAGCATCAAATTCAATCCTGACTGAACTACACAGAGCACAGCCGAATGTGTCGGTGCAGGAAAGAAAATGGAGAATATGTGAAAAGAGTGATATCTTAATTCAAGGCCAACAACAATGTCTTGTTGACCAGCTACTTGGATGCGTGCATATTAAGATGGCATTATTTCTTCATTGGATTTTCTCTCCAAGAAGAAGTCACACCCTCCACCGGCTTGCTGCAGAGATAAAGCTCCACATCTGTTTCAGTGGCTTGAATGCCACCTGGTACACAAACAGATTCTGCTGAGCCGTCAGTTTCAACCCTAGCACGTCAAACTGACTTGATTCTGTGCTATGAAATGGCTCAAAAGTTTAAATTAATGACAAGGGATGAGTATTCAGATTTATACACAGCTTCCATTGTGTAAAGATCTTCCTGCAGTCTCTTACCTAACGCGAGTTGTTTTGACTTATAGGTGCTGTATTAAATGTAAGGATTATTTATCTAATCATCTCCCTTCCCTGAACATACACATATGAACATACCAAGATAGAACCTAAAAGATATTTTTTGCATAATTAAAGTTTATGTTTAACTCAGTCCTTTGGATGATACATTTAACCAACGTCACCTCTGCCTGTTCAGGTGGACGTTAAAGAT